TGGATGAAAGTTAGTGATTACCATTAAAAATATAAACAAGAAAACTTTACGAATCAAAAAATATCACTCCATAGAAGTTAATGATTAAATACGATTATTTTAGCGCATCTTTCAAAGATCTGCAGTGTAGTCTATCCCATCAAAAAATGGAATTATATCTGCAATTTACTCAATAAAAAATGACATCTTTAGGACTTTGTGGCATTCCATTACAATTTGCCACAAGTTAAGTAGGGGCCAGTACTTATTGGCATGAGAAAGTTCATGATCAAGTTCTTGCCTTTGTTTTTTTTTATTATTATTTTTTTTTGAGCCAACTTTGTAGTTATAGATCATCTTAATCTTGTAAGAGATCTATTTTCACTTTGTAATCATATATATTTAGGTTATTCTCATGCAAGTACATCACAAACATAGGTTCGGATTGGAGGAGAGGGTTTTTAGATGACATGTTAATTCAATGAAAGAAGACGCAGTTCATAAAAAATTACTTTCCTAACTTTATGTGGAATAGGACATCGTTCAAGTATGTCCTCCCCTAACTTATTTTTTCACTTTTCTCCAAATATTTTTTTACACTTTACCCTTTCTTATATGTACATTTGGACGAGGAGTCTCAATCAAGTTGTAATGGTATGTTTAGTATCATATCAAAGTTCTGAGTATGAAGTTCAGATTGGTAGGGTTATAACTTAATAGAATGAGATCACACCAACATAGAATTATTTGGATTTGATCATAGTATATTAGGATGGTTCTGTTGGGATTTAATGCGCTTTAAATTTATTGACAAACACACACAATCAAAGAACAAACCAAAAATATAAAATAATGAGAAATAAGAAAGAACAAAACACACAGATTTTACGTAGTTCGGCAATTTGCCTATGTCCACGAAACTGCAGGGATTTCACTAATGAGAGAGAGGAATACAGAGGGCGGTTGTACAATACACATAAAACCCTAATCTCTAAAATAACAGGTTTTATATGTCTTGTGCACCGAGCTACAAAACAAGCTCAAAAAATTTTTCCCAGATGATCGGCCCAGGCCTCCGCTCTAAGGATTAAGCCTTATAAAATTTTTCATTAAAAATTACGCAACATTATTTCGGATCGGATCATCATCCGAATCAACACAAACTAGACTCCACAAAAAAAAAAAAAAACCCAACAGGTTCTTAGGTAAATACTTGTAATGTTAAGCTAAATACTTGTAATGATGGTAGTAAAGACTGTGAGGAGACCAGGAAGAGACCCGGAGGGCTCCCATGCTCTGTTAGCTAATGCATTGTTGTCTTGCAGTTCATTAATTTTTAATCGGTAATTTGATTAATAACTTAAAACCACGGATTAGAAACGATGCTTATCCTAATCTCTCGAGGTGTGGAACCAGATCATGAAATCAAGCTGATGATTGGTCGCCATTCGTATTTTTCTATAAATTACATGGGATGGATGGGACCCACACTTTGTCTTAATCCACTTTACAATACATTTAGGACATACTATTAGTTTTTTTTTTGGGTTAGACGGTATGGCCTAGAATGGACAATAAGGTTCGAATTGGTGACCTTAAAGTCTAACAATATAAGAGTAGTCTTAGGCTAACAGGCAACAACTAACCGCGTCTTTAGTTTATGAAAGTTCAAGTGATAAAAAAAAGTGACTTGTAAACTCAGATATCATGAGTTCAAATTTTAGTAATTTTTTGAAGTCAGGTCATGAGAGATGTATTCATCATGAGTATCCTAGTTTCGGCATAGATGGTTTGTATTTGATCAAACCAGAGAAGAGATTAGTCAAAATTCGCTTAAACTGATCTGAACACCTCTGACCGTCAAATAAAAATAAACAATACAATGTAAGTGCCAACTAGGCATCTCCATATTCCAAATCATATGGACAATACCATGTTGAACAAGATTTTTTATCAAGTATTTCGTCTCAAGTGATGTGGTATAATTTTTACCACCAAATAAGTTGGTCCTATTAATATTTAATGATAGAGACTATGCCACATTACTTGAAATGAAAAACTTTGTAAGAAACATGTTAAATACAACATTACTAGAATAATATACCTTCAAATTTTTATTTGGACCAAAATGGCCTTAGAAATTGAGCAAATATGCAGCGTTTCGAAACAGCGGGACGGAATGATATACCTTCTAAATTTTGTGTATTAGTTTTAAGGATCAAAATTTTGTTTCGGTGTATTATTTTGATCACCTAAGAAACGGAAACGTTTCGACGTGTTTCAGAAACATTTCGACCCATTTTGAAAACTTAATGAAAAAAATAAAAAATTATTTTTTCTAAAACATAGATCGAAATATATCAAAATATCTTAAAATATTTTAAAATAATTGTGCAAATACATTGAAATATTGTAAAACATATAGAAACATTATGGAATACTTCGAAATATTAAAATTTCGAGTCCATCGTTTCAGTCTTCTTGAAAACGGAAACGTTTCGACCGTTTCGAAACGATATTTTGATCCCTGATTAGTTTATGTTTCTATTGTTGTTATATGGAATTATTCAAACATCTTTTATTTTTTTATTATAGCCTAGCATATTATACGAACCGTTATGACTAAATCCTTTATAACTCATTTATAGATTAAAATCAATCATTCTACAATCCAATCCGCCCAATAACATCATCACACTGCAGACTCAAGAACCCAAGAAAACCAAAAGAACTCAATTCCGAACACTACCTCAAAAGGGTCATCTATTAATTACGCTTAGATTGATACTGTTCATAACCTCCTTCCCAAATACATTAATACTTAACACCTTCCTACAGCATGCAGACATAAAGATGTTTACATTTTTCACTTTGCCACTTTTGAAGATTGTTTAAATGTTCACTTTGCCCTTTCATTAATTAGGATCCTCTCATCATATCATGTTGGTGCTTTTTTTTTTTGGGTCAAACACTATTACAGAAAGGGGGACAACGAGATTCAAATTTGCGACTTTAAAGTCCAACAGTAGGAACAATGACTATTAGGCCAACCGCTAAGCTCCGAAAGCAAGTTAATGCTAAACTCCACAGATTTATCAAAATTTTAGGCACATATTATTCTCAGATATCAGTGTGAAGAGGAGACTTACAATAAATTGAAGAGATTTAAGTCCATACAAAACCAAACTATACAAAAACCTGAAATTTCCAAGGGATTTCTCTTTCTCTCTCTCTCTCTATGTGCTGATTGACGGCTGATTTACCCAGCTCCACGGGTGGATGTGTATATTGGGTTAGATGTTTTCTGTACATCTAGAGCTTGAACCTTACCAAGTCTTGTCTTCTCAAGCCATGCTCGTCGAGCAGCTTCTTGAATCTGTCGATCATGTTCCCTAAGCATCTGATCCACATTCTTTGATGGAGCAAATAATGGACCTGAGAAATGGATCTTGTTTCCCCTAAACCCATGCCCATGCTGGAAAAAGGAAACCAAACAAGCATCAAGTGTTAGATAACAAGTTCAGAATGTCGATGCATAACAATGACCAAGATTCACAGTGCTCCATGCAATGATACAAGCTCCATGGAAGAAAGAAGATCAACAAGTTAGCAGACACATGATGAAGATAAAGTACATCAATATAGCTAAAAAGAACATGATGAGAGGTATTTGTTCATAGGTGTTGCAGCAGAGATCGTCCCTGGCTTGAACTTACAAGGATGGGGTGTTGGGAATTAATGCATCATTTCTCTAAAAATAGGTCAAATGCAGATAGCTGTCATTACTCATAACTGAAACAATAGAAAATGTTACTTACAGATCATAACCTAAATGTTTGAAAGTAGTGTCATGAAACTCACCGCATGTGGTTCTTTAGTACTGGCTCTGTCATCTTCTGTCTGATGAGAACCGGCAATATTCTGAGTCTGATGCTTCCAATCCTGCTTTCTAGTGGGTTTCTCATAAGATTCCGAAAGCCTGCCCACTTGATTTGTTGCCTCAGGTCGTGAAGAATCAAGTTTATCTCGGCACTCTTCCGAAACTGAAGTCCTAGAGGCTACTAAACCAGATAAGGTGGATAAGTTGCCTCTGATTGAGACATTGGAAATACCATCACCTCTCTTTCCTCCTTTTGCCCATCCAACCCCTGGAACCAAAGGCCCTGAATGCGAAGCTCTCTTTGGATTCTGTTCCATTAGATCTTTACTCACTTCTTTTACTGATTGTCTCAGTCTAGGTGGATCAATGGGAAACCCAACAGCAGCTTCCTCCCGACGACGGTTGAACAGCTCACTTCGGCTCTTCGGACTGTAATGGCCCTGCCTTGTCTGTATCAAGATGCAAGCTATTTCATGAGAGGATATACGGCAAAAACAAAACAACGAAGTTGAAATCAGGGAAAGAATGGAATGTGACATCGCTGGACATCTAAACAAGATTATATCTTAGCTCAAATGAAATATCTTTTCTTGTTTTATTTTATTTGCCAGGAGCGATCAGAAGAAACTCTCACATCTGATTCTGTAGTCAAGAGGAAAGGGGGTAAATAGCATTTGAGACATTGAAAGTTGAAATCCCAAAAAACATAGAACCAATTCAAAATTAAATGAAACCAATAAATGTCCTAAGAAATTTTTTTACAGACAAGTATCATAGTGTGATGCCTATCAACTAAGCCAAACCAATGAAAACACATGACCAAGGCAAGTTAGAAAGCTAGAACACCCAGTTTTCGGCATCAGATGATCAGATAGATGCAACCTGCTTTCACAACATTCTCCTAAATCCAGAAGACAAGAAATTCAATATGCTAATTATTAAAAGCATAACCAGTTAGGAGGGCAAAAAAAAAGGAATCATTGCCGCCATTAGATTTAATATCTAAAACACAAACCTGGTTATAAAAGCATGCAAGTATAAAATATTCAGGGGATACAAAAAATAATAAAAGTAATACTCAAGGGAAGGGAAGAAGGGCGGGGAAGAAATCAGTGCATCACATGACAAATAGAATAGCCAGTGGCCGAATCTATTTAAGTTTGTTTTCATAATCCCGGGGTGAACAATGAAAAAAAAAAATCCAGGGCATCAGCTTTATGATCTGAAACAAGGTTCATGTGTCTGAGAATTTTGAATCAGCACGCCGACAGCAGAACTTAAGGAGACCTATTCAAGATAAGGTATTGCTGGTGTGTAGCTCTAGCATCACCATATGCATGTTTCCATCCAAATGATAAATCTTATTGAAAATTACAGCACAAAAGAAGTATCCAAGGAGAAATAAAGCTTTGAAGAGATCAACTCGTGCTACAAACAGAGAGAAATTATGAATTGAAGGAAAAAGTTGGAAACTTACAACACTAAAAACAGTTTTCTAAAACTCTTCCCAAAAACAGTTCTCGGATACTGTTTTTGAGACGTAAACCAAACAGGGCCTTAATCATTTCATTTCTGACATCAAGTCAGATAGATAAGATCATCACTTTGATGGAAAACATGCGTATGGTGATGCTAGAGCTCCCCTCCCACCCCCCCCCTCCCCCTCCCCCTCCCCAACCCCCAACACAGCGAAGTGTATGGACAAAATATCTATTGGATGTCAGGTTCCAACTTCTTGTGAACATGCAGTGCAGTGCGATAAACAATCAAGACTAACAAGAACACAAGATTAATGTGGTTCGGTATAAATTCTATGTACGTCCAAGGTGCGGCTGTTTTTCACTTTGAATCATAATCTTAAGGACAACAACATATTCATAGGCACCAGTTAATTACCCTAATCCTAGTCGAAGTAAGAAATCTAGTACAGCCAATCCTTGTAAAACTCATCTACCAAATAACCCAATCCAGATAAAACTTCTAAATCAGATGTACATTGAAAATTTCCAATAAACCCATAATGTACCAGATCACCCAACCCTAATAAAACTCCCCTACCAGTATGCTTTGCTCCGGGAAGCACGCCCACTTGTCCATTGTCTTCCGGGCCTAGTGAATCTGAGTCACACTTTAGAGGAATTTCAACAGTTTTGACATCTAAAAATTTAGTACATTTTCCATTTTCAATTTATAATTTGGAAGAACAATTGGAATTTAGTAGTTTCTACCTGAAACAAAGTATCAAAACAAACAAGAGAGTAAAAAAAGAGGGGGGAATCCGAACATTATTTTACCTGCATTGAAATGGCTAACTCAGCATTAGCTTCAGGTGCTGGACCTCCCCGCAGATCTCTTGATCCTCTCATATCCCGGTCAACCCTCTGGCTCCTGACTGCCATTGCTCCTTGCCTATGAGCATTTATTACAGCATCATTGTTATCAGCTTAGATATAAAGTACGCTCACTTAGGCACAAAAGTAATACCAAAGTCCTAGCAACCTCCATTGCAGTCTAAACGAAATTCTAGGATGTATAAAAACAAAAGATGCATTTACTCGACCTAAGCTATTCAGATTAATATACAAAAAGCTACTGATTTAGTAATGCTCAACAAATTCAAAGAAAAAAGAACATGTTATTCATGAATCCAAATTGTTTATTTGGTTCCCCACTCATTGCAGACGCTTGGTAACATCAATGTCACAAATTGCCACCATGAGGTTATGCTGGTACTACTGAGGGCAGACAGCAAGAGAAAAAAGGAAAAAAATTACTACAGTGCAGAATATCAGTAGCTGATAGACAATAAGGTGAACTAAATTGGCAGTCTGCTCAACTTTACCACCATTTATGATGCAGCCTAGAAAAACTGTCATAAAAACAAGTTTTCTTCTCAAAATAGAGGATGTTGCATCATAAAATCAGATGTTATATGGCTGCAATACATGCAAATTGATTTCATAACTGAAGAATACTTTAGGAGCATGCACCTTCTAGCTTCTTCATCCCGCAATTTTGCATCAATCTCTTTGCTGGGTGGATACTTTGGCAAACTTGAAGGATCACAAGCAAGTGGCCATGTTGCAAAGAACTGTCAGAGAAAAACAGTTATCAGTCAGGACAATTCACAAGAATCAGGAATATTGCTCCAAAAAAGAATGAAAAGAAGCTGATAATGGTTCAACAACTGTTAGAACATATATAATGTCGCATTCTGAAATAATAAAACTTGCGACATGCTATGTTTTCTCCCCATTGCTAGTACGTTGATGGGTCACACACCGGCACACATGTTTGGCCTTGTGTGCCCATAACTCAAAATAGATGACCTAACGGCCTCCACACAACTAAACATACCATTAGTCACCAGATTCATATGAGATACCGGGTTGTAAGCATTGATCTTCTTAAGATCAATCAGTCTTAAAGTGGTCAAGATAGTATATATTATAGCAATCACAAGAAAAAATTATTCAGCAAGTTTGACCATCCAATGGTATTTTAAGGGCATGCTAAGATATCCATGGAAGTTGGATTTCTACCGTTCCAATTGTAAGTTGATGTATGCATGCAACAGCTCTACAAGAACTATCAACAGGACAAACTACTGAAAAATTGAAACTTCAGCATCTCACTTAGTATTAAAGGTAATCCCATGAAATCAGTTCAAAGCTAGAAGTTCATTTTCTTCAGGGAGGGCATATGAAATATTGTGTAAAATAAAGTCAAATCAGCAAGCAAATAATTGATGGAGGTGTTAGTAGTATGCTCTAAGACCAATCATATAGATGATGTTTTGGGGTTGTACTAACAACATTCATTACTTAATTAAATAAAAGAAGGGCAAGTTTATTTATCATGACTTTATTTTATTTTTAATATACATGATATAGTCCATAAAGTATCACTTAAAAAGATGGTTTCTCAAGGAGTTGGAAAGAGGAGACTTATACTTCTTAGTACTTAATCCTTAAATGTTCCTAGTCATAGGATTACTATGTGGGCATTATGTAATCTGGATAGACTAGCATACACTATAATTACTCATATTTAATATGAGGTGACTCGTCCAAGTCATTAGTATAGGAACACTGAAGCAGATGTAGGTGCTTGTTAGAGAACAAGTATATTGAATGTGACTATTCACTAACGTACGATTTTGCATATGGAGTTTTACATACCTGTCAATGATAAATCCTAAAGTTATAGGTATGCAACTGATCTTTAGACATGAGACACTATGGTTGTCTTGTACATGGACTTTTATGTTTTAACTATAAAACATATTTATATACTAACCATGTAACTTGAATATGTATTATTGGACATAGTTAGACATGCATAGAGATTTATAAGTGTACAACAGGGAATCTATCATCCTTAGTAAATAAGGAGAGAATGTCCTATGTGATCTTCTAGGATATGTGATGGGAATCGTGTAGGAATTGGATAGATATTATAGATTATTTATGATAATTATTTAGATACTTTTAATATTTAGCTTTTAAGTAATTTATTTTAGCTTTTAAGGGTTTAGTTGTCATTTTCATTATTTATTTATTTTAGGCTTTGTGATCTCCTTATATATATAGGATTTGTGAATTCCTTATATATATAGGGGATACGTATTTGTTGAGAGACTTTGATTATTGATTATTGATTATTGATATTGAATCTTCTTTCTAAAATTCTCTTTCTATTCTCTTCCCCTTCTTCTTCTTTTTTCATTCATTTCTTCTTCCCTTCTCATCCCTAATACGATCTACATCAATTTGGTATCAGAGCCCAACTTCGATTCAAAAAAAAAAAAATTTAAAAATAAACGAAGTTACTGTTCATCGCACTGTTCACGGGTGCACTGTTCATTTGTGTACTGTTCATCCAAAAACGTTGTTCATAAGGAAAAGATAAAAAAAGGAGGAAACAAAATTTGTTTATCATATTTTGTCGCTGTAGCAGTAGCCTGGTGGGTTAAGTTTTGAACCAAAGTTCCCGGCAGATTCAGCAAATTACAGAAACATCTTCATAAGTCCCAAAAATTACAAACACATCCCAAGAGGTCTTCAAAAATTATAGAAACACCCCAGAAAATTCCAAAAGTTGCAGAACCATTACTAGAAAATTTCAGAAATTACAGAATCACCATTTGAAGTATCAAAAATTACAGAATCTTCCCCCCAGAAGTTCAAGAATTATAAAAAACATTCCCAACAGATCCATAAAATTGCAGAATCATTCTCAAAAAGTTTCAGAATTTTCTCTTGATTATGGTATGCATACTCTTATAGAAATTTGAAACTGATATTTTTATTCATTGAAAAATTAAAAAAATTTGCAAAGGATCCAAATTATTTGTCAATTACATTCTTGAACTTGTTTTGGCGTCATTCCCTTATTCCAAGAGTCACTCATGAGTTTCTCTAATACGCATGTTTCAAGAATCTCTCCTCAATGTCATCATCATAGGAAGTCAAAGAATGTTTACATGGAGTCAACCCATATGACCAAACGAATCAAAGATCCTTTTATATTTTGTGGTACTCCGGATCCCAATCAATTCTTGGATTGGTTAGCTAATTTAGAAGAATATTTTAATTGGCATGGCATGTTGGATTCCCATTGCGTCCGTTTTGCTAAATTGATGTTGGAGGGTTCAGCCAAGAAGTATTGACAAACAATCCAAATAAGCCTAGACCCCTTAGGAGAATCACCTATCACTTGGGTTGAAATGAGATATAAATTGAAAGAGAAGTATTTGCCTACTTCCTATATGGATCAAGTTTATGACCAATGGCTCAATCTTAGACAACATTCTTCTAGTATCTCTAATTACTTTGTCCAGTTTGATTATCTCATGTACTTGTGTGATATTGTTGAAGAACCTTGGACAATTGATCAGTTTATTTTTGGGTTGAGACAAAAAATTAGTAGGGAGGTTAAACAATACACTTTTAATACGTTAATTGCAGCCTATCAATATGCTCTAAAGGTTGAGAGATTTCATAAGAAATCCAACTATACCTTGATGAGTTCTCAATCACAGCCTGCTGATAGGACATCTTCCAATTTTAATTCCATCACATATGAGTATCATGATTATTTAAACGATGTCCATGTTGTTTCTGCATGCTATCCTAATTCGAATGTGGCAAAGGATTTAAATATTTTAGTGTCAGATAAAGAGAAAAATGTTATTCATATGGACTTCCAACTCCCTCATTTAGTTTCATCATATCAGAGTCTTCCTCATTTGCACCCACAAGAGTCCATTTCGAAAGAAAGTGTGTGTGAGTCTTTGTTTGTGTCAATTCTTGAACCATCATTGATCTTGAAAATTGTGAAAAAGTCTGTTGAGTCTACACCTATGCAAGATATTAAATCAATCGAGTCATTTATTACAGAATTTAAAAGCGACTATTCTATGTCTACTTGTCCAAGTCATCATGACTTTGTTACAGATTCTTCCCAATTTGAGATTGTTGACATTGTTCTGGATTCTGCCTCACTTGAGAGTGTTAACTTTGATTCTTTGCCTACTGTCAAGTGTTCAATTGAGTCTGTACTTTCTTATTTTCAGCTCCAGGGTGTTATAGTTACTCCTTTGTCACTGATGTCTTGTCCCATTGAATGCCCTATTGTTCAAATCTAATGGAAATTGTTTTGCTATTCTTGAGTTTGGATCTAATACTTATTTGCTTAATTTTTCATTGAATGTTAGTATTGGTCCAGATTTTTATTGGGAGGACATACTGCTTAATCGAGGTACTCCAGAGCCTCCTATTTTATTCGCAAGTGTTCACACAGATGGAGATTCTTGCATTTATCCTGGTCGATGAAAAGAAGTCGATGGTTCTTTCATTTTAGATGAGGCATTATGTCATCTTCATCTTGCTCTTTTGGGGTACTTCTACTTTGAAGACTCTCCGAAGGAGAGTTTTTTTCAACCGGAAGAGAATGATGAGGATCGTGTAGGAATTGGATAGATATTATAGATTAATTATGATAATTATTTAGATACTTTTAATATTTAACTTTTAAGTAATTTCTTTTAGCTTTTAAGGGTTTAGTTGTCATTTTGATTATTTATTTATTTTAGGCTTTGTGATCTCCTTATATATATAGGATTTGTGAATTTCTTATATATATAGGGGATACGTATTTGTTGAGAGACTTTGATTATTGATTATTGATATTGAATCTTCTTTCTAAAATTCTCTCTCTATTCTCATCCCCTTCTTCTTCTCTTCTCATCCCTAATTCTTCCCTAATACGATCTACATCAATATGACTTAAGGAGTCCATGACCAAGGCAGAATGACAATTAGAAAAAATATTTCTAATTGATCATTAAGAGTCATAATCCTAAGATCGAACACATAAAATTCAGTTAGGAGTTTGACAGTAACTTAATATCCTAGTAATTCATTGAGACATTGTATGATGGAAGGATTGAATTGAATAACAACTGTAAACTGAATGAGTTCTTTACCTATTTCGTCTATTCGGATATTGAGTTCTAATTCAAGTTAAATTAGAAAAAGTTCTAATTTGAGATGCTACTTGTATTTAGTATCGAATGCCTACAAGTTATACTTGAACCTATAGAGCCACACACAATAGAATTGATTGAAAACTAAAAGGATAAATAAGAGAAACAAATTAAAAGTTAATTGGGGGTGAAAACCTAATTAAGAGTTAATTAGGGACTTTATTACAATTAATAGTTAATAAAAGGGTTATATGTAATTATGAGATAAATGCAACTAGATCAAAACTAGGATTAGAGTCTTCTAAGCCTCTGTAAATACTTTTAAATAGGAGGTAAATATATATAAGGGATAACAACTCTCACTTTCTAGCACAAGACAAATTCACTTTCATTCTCGCTCTCTTTACTAGTTCATTAAAAGTTTTGGTAGTTCCTTCAAATTTGTCAATTAGTGTGGATACTGATAGAGGCCAAACGATTGCGAGTTTTAGGATAAAAATCAAATTCAGATTTGAAGATTGCTAAAAGCACACTTCAAGAAGTATTTCTTAATCTTCTCTATAGTTCTAAGGTTTCTCGGTTTGTATTAAACATGAATAAATCTAAAAATAAGGAATCAATTTTAATTTTATAAAATTCCGCTGCATTTATTATATGATTCCAGGTTCACAATCAAGCTTGACTAAAATTTGTCAACCTTGTGGGCATCTAGGTCCAAATGACTTAAAACCCCTGCTGCTATGATTGGGATAAGTAAGGTGACAATACTAGAAGTGATCCTTGAAGGATCTCTATCTCGTTCTTGGATCTCTCTTCTCTAATTATCAATATCAATGAAAAATATATAGATTAATGTGATCTACAAGAAAAATAGTGGTTGCACGCTTAAGAAGGATACCAAAAACAAAACAACGTATGCAGGCCAGCAAACAAGAATACTTCACTCCTAGCAGTTAACAAACTGAGTCGTCTATATAAAGTGTTCCACAGCACAGAACTATATTATTTATCTATTTATTCAAAATTCAGCCAACTGACTTTTTTGTATGATAATTAATATGATTCTTACTAGGTATTTACCTCACTTTTAAGAGCCAATGCTGCAGTTCCCCGAATTGCAGGATCTATGGAAAGTAAGGTCTCCATAAGCCCTACAGCAGCAGCAGGAAAATCTTTAAATGTTTCTCCAAGACGACGTCTATAAGGCTGCAGAGGTTTGAACACTGTTGAATGAGGTAGTTTTGATTTCCTCCAATAATCCTCAGAAGGCGAGCCACAAAGCTTAAAAATTTTATGCAATTGCTCTACCTAAAAGGTATGAGGACTACATATCAATCATAGTAATTCAAAATTTCTCATATTTTCAGATATGGATATATGCATGTATTTTATGAGCAAAATGGGGAGAATAAAAATGCTTAGTGTAAACTGTAGGGAAGAGTAGATGAAGCATTGTGCACTTAAACTTTTAAGGTCTGGCTGGGTTACTGGAAGCTTAAGGAGTGTAGCCCAAACAGATCACATAGGTCCATCAGACACAAACACATCACATAACTAAGCCTTCTGTGAATTACCCTCATATAGACATCTGATGGATAGTTAGTTGCATATTTAAACAGCAAAAGCCAGCCTAAACATGGGTTAAAATGCAGGCTTTAGGTTTTCTTTGGCCCAACACCTCTACTACAAAGTCTTGATGCTGATGGACTTTCCAGTATGAACACAGGTCACACGGCACCTAAAACATGCCCAGTGAGCCTAAATAACAATGCTATGCTCAGAGTAATATAAAAAAAAAGTCAGAAAGGGGCATGGGTGAGTGGGTTAACATTAAAGAAGAAAAGCTCCCCCCCCCCACCCTTTCTCCCTTTCTTTCTCTCCACCATCTTATGCTTCCTCGACTTGGTATTTCTAGCAGATGATATTTATCAAAATTTAGAAATAACATGAAAAAATTTCACTGACGGACTGTTAAACACTTCAATCATACTCGCATGGTGAAACTAGATTCCTACTGTACCTCAGTTCTTCCAGGCATGATAGGCTTGCCAGTATATAGTTCTCCAAGTATGCAGCCAGTACTCCATAGATCCACTGCAATTCCATAGTGAGTGGCTCCAAGTAAAAGTTCGGGCGGCCGATACCAAAGAGTCACTACACGGCTGGTCAAGGGCGCACATTGGTGATGATCAAAGAAGCTTGCTAAGCCAAAATCCGCAATCTTCAAGATCCCATGATTGTCAATTAAAAGATTTGAACCCTTAATATCACGATGTAGAACACCATTACTATGACAATGCTCAAGTCCACTCAGCAGCTGCTGCATGTAACATTTAACCTAAAAAAAGAAATGAAGCATTATAACATTTGCTAAGAAGGGAAGACAGAGACAATAAAAAAAGGCAATAATTATCAGGGCCCTTATGTTGTTACTAACCCAGGAGCAACAACCAAGTGTAAGTTAAAATCCAACGACTTACCAAATCCTTGTCCAACTTGATGACATCAAAAGTAAACATTGATGCCAACATACAGCAACGAAATACAACCCAAACAAAAGAGAACTCTTGTAAGTTTATAAAACTACCTGTGGTTCCGTGAACTTGACACCAGGGAGCGATGCCAGTCCTGTAAGATCATGCTCCATATACTCAAAAACAAGGTATAAACTGCATGATGTGTGCGATATTACCAAGCCTTCTAGTTTGATAACATTTGGATGGTCAAGCCTACGCAAAATAAGGATCTCCCTTGCCATAAACTTGATGCTCTCAGGATCCATATTATCAAATCGTACCCTTTTTAAAGCAACAACTTTCTTATTATTAGTGAGGTCACGAGCCTTGTACACGCTACTGTAAGTTCCTTGGCCAATCTGCAAGAATGAAATGTTATCACTCAAGAACCAAAACCCACTATATGAGCAAATCAACAAACATTGAGAAGAAAATTAAAACATACACTCCTAAAGAGAAAATCTCTTCATAAGCATGCATACATTCCTCAACAGCAGGCAATACTGTGACATCAGATGCAATTAAACCATAAAATGCTATGCCTCATTCAAAGAATTTTCAGCAATTCATGTATATATAATCCACCACCATATGTTTAAAGCACTATCCCAATAGATTTTCCCCATTGTTACTCTTTGTTCAACCACTCTAATGGTAGCTATTAATCCAATTTTCTTTTTAGAGGATCTTAGATCACTAACACAACCAGCTCATTAATTTTAGCCGAATGCATCATAAGACAGTTTCGCAGCGTTTGTATGGACAATTGCATTTTGCAACCACCATAGTGTACATCTACTTCATCTTCCTTGCAATTTATCATGAAACAAACCAACTGTCCTTAAGGACTAAATTGACAGCCCAGCAAAAGATGCGCTCAACCCTCAAATTTAAGGGTCCAAAAGTAATCTTCATCCAGGAAAAAGCAAGTAGAATTGGTTATATGATGCCTCTCATATACGAGGACATCTATCCCCGGTAGAGTAGAATTTTTTGAATTCACAAATTTTGGTCCTTTGAATTCCCCACAAGTCATCCTGAATATCCATTCAACTACTGCCAAACTCTCACACAAACCTGACAAGTCTTGTGAAAGATTAGGTTGCCTGCTTTCAATGCCATTAAACAAATAAAACTCCCACTAGATTTTGTGAGGAAGCTTGAAAGTTTGTGTGTCCTAATGTTCATTGGGAAAAATAAGCTTTTTTGACAGGTAGCATTCATTGAATCAACAGACAGCATTTGCAATGTGTATGTCAGTTTAATTGGTTTCAATAGACATGTCATACCGATAGATATGAGGTTGCCTTGACTTAATGATAGAATATCGAGAAATCTCAAATCCATTGTTGGTTTCAATTTAAGAAAGTCCTAAAAAAAAGTGTTAGTACCAATAAAAACTGCAGCATTCAACCATCACGAACCTCGTCAATTTAAAAAAACTGTAATCAAATGCTTTAATCAGGTAACTATCAAGAGAGACTATGTGACAAGAATGCTTTCCCCCACATTGATTTTCCACAAAATTCTAGCTAGTTGAGTTACTAGATGATAACATTGCTAAAACCATACTAGCAAAAGAACTGTAAATAGACCATCCAATTAAACAATAGCCATACCTTGTCTAACTTTTCGAAAGAATTTGAAGGCCTTGGCAGCCATCCCTTGATAGCTTCACCCGCCACTGCCACAAACCAAGATGGCCAACCTGCCGCAATCTGTTCTCCTTCCATAGCTTTAGGAACACTTCCCATCCCTGGAAAGTTTACGACTACTACTTCAGAATTCTCTTTCCTCCCCTCAAAATGATCATCCCTCACCCTTTTCGAATTATTGGCCTTCTTTTCAACTACTCCAACTCTTAGATCACCACTGCCTGGTCTATTCTTTACCCGAAAACTCTCCTCTCTTTTCGATGAAATGACACGAGGCACATGTAAATCCGAGGACTCTTTATTCAATTGTCTCTCCCTTGTGTTCTCCCGGCTATCTTCTGTTACCGAAACCTTACCACAAATGCAACCCATAATTCACTAATAAGTACCGAAAAAAAAAAAGCCCTCCTTAACACCTAAAAGTCACCACCTAAAACCAACCTTACAAAAACCCCTCTTTTTCGATATCCATTGAACTAAATTCAGTGATCGACTAAATTCAATCCAAATCAAAAAAATTTAACCCCGATTCACCAAAATGATCACCGATTACCCCCATGCAATACCTTCAAACTAATCTCCACAAGCAATAACAAAAACCCATAAAAAATGTCGTTCTTCAATGCTTCATGCACAAATTAAACCACCTAAAGACCTCAAATTTTCACATAACAAAACCAATATCCAATACCTCGAAAGTCGACGAATGAAGATTGAATGAGATAAACCCACAAACCCTGTTCAATGATTTAGAATTTTGATCTTCAGAACAGCTTGTGAAGTTTCACACAAGACCCATTGACCGAAAATACTTGGTTTTGGAGGAAGAACTATACATGTGCAAACTGCAGATATATAGAAAGAGAGAGAGGACAGCTTTCGGCCGGCGAGGCCCAGTCAAGATATACCCAGCTCTCTCTCTCTCTCTCTCTCTGTAACTGAAACAGTTTCAATTTCTGTTTTACATTCAAGAGCAGGTATGCATTGTAGTGGGACACTGGGAGTTGGACACTGCCTCTCCCTCTCTCTCTCTCTCTCTCTAGAAAAGGGTAGTTGAGGTATCTTTGGGGATATTTGAACTTTGAATGCTGAATTGATCCCGTTATCAACTTCGATTATTCTCACAAAAAAGTTATCCGTCACTTGGACCGTTATCAACGTCCCCTTAATTAAACTTCCACTCGATTTTACTCGAGTTCATGGGTACGGGACTCGCTTTCATATAATAGATCTTACTTGCATGAATTGTAAATAATCCATCATCTTATGAAATTAAGAAAAAAATATAATCAAACGTGTCTCAATTCAAAAATTTACTGGAGGTGTAAGATTGGAGTAAATATTTAATGTAACGGTGATATCACGTTATCACTGTCATGTGGTATCACTGGTCAATTAAAAGACTAAAAATAAGTAAAGTGAACTCCATTATTTTTGACGAGCAAAGATTTAATTGGGGCAGACCCAATAAATCAAGCAAACTCAAATCCATTAAAAATGTAGGCCAAGCCAATTCATCAATTTCACCCAGTCCAAGATTCAAGGAGCCTAAGAAAATAAAAGCACGTAGGAGAGAGATTATCAAGATACTCACTCTCAAAGATCAAGGCTATCTTAATTATACTTATATTTTGTAATCATTCTCCCCAAAAAATTAGTACCCTCATACTCACGTTACCATTTCACCATGCCTATAAATTGTAAGTTCTCTCCATTAAGAAGAGCATCTCACTACACATTGAGTTCTACCTCTGCATCGCTCTACACACATAATTTTTCTCTCTTCTAATTATTGTATCGCTCCCGAAGTCAACCATTAATCTCTCACATTCAACTTACTTCATCAACAAAGACTATCTGCCACCGTTGCCACTTTACTTCATCAATAAAGACCCTTTGTCACTGTTGTCATTTCTCAGATTAGAGTAGATCACACTAGACCAAACTACTATATATTTGTGTATTGACTCAATATTTACATTACTGTCATTAATTATTTTATTAATTGTCCATTAATTACACCTTATCACACACTCAACTATTAATCTTGCACGAGACTGTTTTGTACATCATCAATTTTCATAAGTATCAATAACCACCACATCCAATCAGTAATATATATGATTAGTGAGATTCACTTTACCTATTTGTTGTCTTATAATTGGATTGTAACACCAAATGACGGTAATGATATGATATCACTGTTTCAATAAATATTTTATTGTAAGATTGGTTTGCGGTAGTTATAAAAATTTTAAAATGTATTAACTACAAATATTCTTTTAATGTGGTTCAAATCATAATTAATTGATTGGTTAGAATTTTTGACACGACTGAATTTATTGCGGCCTAGTTTAAAGATTAGCATCTATTGGGGTTGATAAAGTTTTGAACATAGAGGCATGGTTTTACTCTAAGTAAAGTGCATAATCGGGATTTGATCTTTGAAATGGACTTTGTATTTCTATTACATTCCTTTTTTAACTCCCAATTGCAAAGTAGTAGTGATGTATACATTAGGTGAAACGGGCATGTCATTGCAACCAGTTTTCTTTCAGGATTTGGAAAAAGTAGTAGTATGCAAGTAATTTACCTTACATACAAGCATTCCATTTTCTGTTACTCGAACCCGAAATACACATATTATAATCAGTGGCGGTGTCAAGCATGGTCTAAGGACCCCCTAATTTTTTGTCAAATTGTAGACATTTCCGAATAAAGTTTGGACATAATGGGGTCATTTAGTAATTTCTTACAAAATTAGGTCAAAATATAATAAATTATAGGATCATCTCATAAATATATAAAAACTTGGGGTCTTAACTTCACCTTGCAAAATTAAGTGGATGATATATTTGAAGTTTGAGGGGGATCAAGGCGTAAAATTCAAGAATTGAAATTTTTTACACCAAGTGCTTCATTAAATTTCAAACTATTAAGAATTGTTGATCTTGTTCAAAATGGTTTCATCCACGAATAAATTTCTAGTTTCGCTCATATTATAATTGTGAGTTTAAACATCTACCTAAATTTCCTATCAACTGAAACCTAAAGTCAGTCAAAAGATCAACCATTAAAACATTCTTTATGACCATCCTTTGCATTGAAAGTAGGCCATTGTAATTTTCAAATTGGGTGTACAAAAGCTCTCTTTCTTGTTGTCACCTAGGCAATTAGTCCAAGTCTTAATTCAACAGGTCATAACTCATAAGTGGACTCTATCAAATTAGGCAAAAATATAATAATAAAAAATGCTGGCTCTATTCATAATTTAATATTTTTGTGGGCCATAGTTGAAAAATCCAACTTTCTAGCCAGCATTGGCTTATTGGTGACAAAAATTAAGATGTGGGGGCACTTCAAAGTAGTTGGGTGATGTTTTTAATGTAATTATATGACAAAAATTTCCCTACCATTGACCTTATTGCAGACTTTTTTTATGTGTTTAAAGTATGAACTTTCTGCTGTCCATACATGCACTCCTATGCTATACAAATTCCAGACATGCATTAGACTAGCTCCATGTCCATGCATCACAATTATAATAGAATAATGTTACTATATTAGCAAGGACGGATCCAAAAATTTAGTCCGAAAAAAAAAAGGGAGTCAAGCTTTTAAATTTTTATAAAAATTGGGAGGATGAAACCGATATAGTTTGGAAGTGTTCATAACATCAACAAAATAAAACGGGAGTACCCCATTATGATATTTTTTATGATTGATATTCACCGGTTTATATATCGAGGTTTCAAGTTTTAGTATGGTGTGATACATCTTGATTGACTCAACATACATGATTTTTTTATTAATGAGTTGATTATAAGTTTACGTAGTAGTTATTCGGCTTGTCAATTGATCGGATTTGGATCGTATTCTTATTGATTTGAATCCGAATCCAAAAGTTGATTTGAATCCTATCCGAATTCGTTAACCATCTAAAAATTCGATCGAATCTGAATAACTTAATTAATTAAATTTTAACATGTTATACTTAGATTCCAACTAAATTTTTTTACATAATCACTTAATTTCTTTAATATTTTATATAAAAATATATAAATAATTTAGATCAGTTCATAATCGAATCGGATATAGATTTATTCAAATCCGATCCGTAAAATATAAGATATCGAATTTGAGTTTAGATTATTGGCAAAAGATATTAATTCATATCTAGCTAACATCAAAATCCAATTCATTGACATGCCTAGTAATTACGAGTTCCTAGAATGTGTTAGAATTTCCCTCAAACCTCAGACCTCAGACATCGACCGAAGCGCTTAGAACAAGTGAAAAGTTTACGATAGACCGAAAAGATTTATACAGGAAATAACAGTTGATACCCTTTTAACGATCCATCTTTTGTGTTGCTAACTTGGGTCCAACCATCACTCCGAGGGACATCCCATTCACCCACCCTGGAAAAATCGTGTAAGTATAATAATTAATAAGGAGCTTTGGGTCCATCTGAGTGGCTGTTCACCCCTTCATGTGCAAAGAAGTGCTAGGTTGAAATCCACCCTCCCCTGTAATAGCTTGACCAAGAAAGAAATAATAGTTTAGATGAATTATTTTTCCGGTTGGTAAAGGTTATTTCATAGTACATTAATATAATTTATTTGTAAAGGTTGGTAAAGGTTATTTATAAAGGGCCATAGTTTAGGCAGCCCTCAATTGCTTAGATGACCCGTTCCTTCTATTGTTTTAAATTTTGGTATGCTTTTTATTAATGAAGGGCTATTAGAATTTTCTTACATAGTAAAAGATTTCTATCAAAGGTAGATTAATCTTTTAACACTGCATAAATAGGTTGTTTGATCAAACGTCAAGTAAAAGATTTTATTCGGGCATGTTCGATCTTGTTTTAAATGAGTTTTATTAGGGTTTAAAACCACATGGTTGTTCTTTGTCACAAGACTCTTTAGAGTCTGTTTGGTTAGGAAGAAAATATTAATGAAAAGTGAAAAACGATAGAAAATGAAGTAAAAGAAAATATATTTTCATACATATTTTTTATTAGCATAAAAAACTTGTGAGAAAGTTTTTAAAAAATTTTATTCTATTGTTTTTAAAAAAGGAAAATTACAAAGAAAAAATTTCTAATTGTTAAATTACCATTAATTGTATTAAATTGGTCTAAAAAAATATGTATTGTTCTTAAAAGTTAAAAACTTTACGAAAAGTGGCTCTTAACCTAATTTTAAGACAAGGATTAGCTCAAATTCTGATCTCAATCCAAATTATATGGTTAACTAAATTTATACCAAGTTTTTTAAAAATTAATAACTAAGAAAATAATTTTAAAAACATAAGGGTAAAATGAAAAGCTAAATTATACATCACAATTTCCTTATATATCCTTGTGTTTTTACAAGAAAAAAAAAATTGGTTAGTTGTCAAAAAATCAAAATATAAAAGAAAATTATTTTCTAACATTATACCACTAAACAAACAGAACCTTGGGGCCAAAATGGTATATGTGAGTTTATTACTTGAAATGGATATTCTTAATCTTTAAATGTAATTATTGGAAGCATAACTAACTTCTTGAATTACAGCTCCCTCTCTCTCTCTCTCTCCAAGTCATCTTTTGATAGACCCTATTTAACAAAATTTAATCAAAAGTCAAAAATGACATGACAATTTTATTACTGCATAAGAGTCGAAGATCAATTTAGTCTTTTAGTTTTATTAGATAATGCTTTCGAGTACGATTCCATTTCTAGTATATATTTGTACAAGGCCACAGTGTGGGGGAGTCCTCGATTGCTTAGCTGATCCGTTCCTTCAATTGTTTTAAAATTTGGCATGCTTATTAATGCAAGCTTTGAAGAAAAAGCTGCAAAAATTATTTGTTTGTTTGCCTTTTCAGAGAAGCTGGTTTTGGCAGAAATCCCATGTGAGTCTTGATACCATAAATAGCATTCGCAAATTGCAAGGGAGATGCTGTTAGCTTTTTTTATTTATGTTAGTGGGTCAATTATAGTTTTACACTATACATACTGGTTTCTCTCCTTTATGTAAGTGGTCCAATTATCTG